TGACTCCAGGAGGATAACTGAGCCAGCACCAGAAACCCAAAAGCACGCTGTACCAGCAGCTCATACCAGTCACAGATGGGCCCAAAGACCAGGGCCCCAACGAGGAGTCCAGCCATGAACACCGACTGAGAGGTCCTTTTCAGGTTATTCCGATCACACACCAGGTCAAACTGAAATGAAAGCAAGGTATGTGAGACTGGGCCAACCAAGTTTATCATCTAAACCCTATGGTTCCCACATTGTGTACCAAGGCAATTCTTTGCACCATAGTGAATTCATTGAACACAGAATATTTAAAATCTGAAGGGAACATGATTCAATCATTCAATTCTGACTCACATGGAGACATACATCTGGGAAGAAGTTGAAAAGCAGTAAACCACCCTGGTCAAGCAGTAAGACAAGTATGAGACATGGAAGGAAACAGTAAGTAGGACAGGAAGGGAGGGCATCGGCAGAGCTCATGCAAAGGACAAAGGGAAGAGTACGGGGACAGGGAGAAAACAGGTAGGCAGCTGGGCAGATAGGCAGAAGGACACGTCAAGAGATACAGACAAGAGAACATTAAAAGAACCAACAGCTACTTAGGTAGCAGAGCACACAGAGAAAGTTACAGTGGCACATGCATTCAGCTGGTATTCAGAGCTCAAGGCTGGGCACAAGGCTGGTCGCCTGGCCTGGGATGCCCTGTGAGGGAGTAGACCAAGATGACTGGCTAAAGGAGAAAGCAGGCGCAAAAACAAGAGAGAGAACAGCAAGTATCAAAGGCACAGGTTCTGAGGAATGGGCGGACCTGTGAAAAACAACAAGCCATCTTACCTCATTCTTTAGGGACTGAGGCCTATTCTCAGGATAGTCCCAGCCTGAGTCACAGGCCTGCGTGTCATTGTAGCGGTGGCTCAGGATGTCTTCCAGGCTGGCACCATCAGGAGGTGGCCGGAACATGAGGCAGGACTCGGGTTGGCCTGCCGTGTTGTTGGGTATGCTTACAGCCAGCTGCTCAGCCACACTTAGGTTGAAAGTGTGGTTCTTAACCCAGGACACTGAACAGTGGTGGGCCTCATCAAGGACCATGAAAACCTGGCTAAACACGAAGAATGCAGACAGGAAATTGGGGATACCCATCAGGATGGCCACCCGCATCTGAAAGCATCCAAAGTCGCCCACTTCAGCCATGACCTGTGCAAACTGAGCCATGTCTGCTTCTTACTCCTCAGCCTAGGAACACCACGCAGACTTGCTGCTCTGGGCTGTGGTGACAACTACATTAATGTTTAACCCAGCTTTGGGCAGCTACACCTATCAGTTTATACCTTACCTCCGTAGTCTGACAAGAAAGAATGTCGAAACAACAACAAAAACCCCCAAACCACACTTATGTGAGAATGTTTTATTGTCTGTGACAGACACAGACATCACAAGAACACCTTTCTGGGCCAAAGCCTTCAAAAGATGAAATTGTCTTCTTCATTGATTTCCAACTATAACACTTTCAGCAATTCACAGTCACCTCTATTGCTTTACCATAACAACAACAACAACAACAACAAAACCCTCAGATTCTAAGCGTGTCTGCAACATTTGGAGGGGCGTAAGCATCTCTTCCAGAGACTAAACCTCATGAGACGTGGGAGATAGATAATAGGTCCATAGCAAAAGCTCATTAATCAGTGGTTTCACCAAGCACTGGACCTCACATTGCACAATTCAACACAATGATGTGCCTACTGGGGCAAACGTGGCAAGACTGTTGTAGGTCTAACCAACTGCTCTCACATGCATCTGAGATCTGCTTCTCAGAAGAGAATTTATGCTTGCGACTGCAAACGTGATCAGAACCTATGGCTACTAAAGTCTCACACCCTAGAAAAGAATTGATGAGTGTTATTTTATTGAATGGCTGTACTGGAAAAGTGTCTTCCCCACCCATGTTTTCTAGTCCTGACTTGTGATGTTCTTAATCTCGGCCAAAGCAGCTTCTTGTTGCAGAGGGTGGTTGTTAACTCTGAGACAGCTGTTCAAACTGTTGAGACTGAGTGAATGCGTACATTCAGCCAGAGGGAAGAGCTCTCTACCTCTCAGCAAGGCTCCCTGACCATCACAGAAGAGAGGGCAGAATGGGTATAAGCGCTGGCTCTAAGTTTGGTGTGGAGAGCTGTGGAAGGCTGACCTCTGCACATGACATGGTCGCTGCACACATCAGCTGCGGTTATCTACACATGACCTGTATAAGATTAAGCCAGCTAAAAATGCCAACGTTTCAGAAACAGAAACAGCTGAAGTGACCATAAAGGAAACGTGGCACATATGTACAACAGAATATTATTCACCATTAAAAACAAAACAAAAAACAAATCCAGTGGAACTTTGCTCTTTTGTGACTGCATACTTTAAAACTGCAGATTTTAGTAACTGAACACAGCCAAGCATAGAAGGACAAATACCTTATAAGAATATGTGAAACCTTTAAAATCTTTATCTCACAGGAGGTAAGAGTAGAAGAATGTTTCCTAGAGTCCTGGGGGCAAAGGGAAGAAGCGACAATAAACGCTGATCAATATCTGTTAAGTAATGACCGTGAGAAAAGAGCTCTGGTGTGCTGCTGTTCCTCCTCCACCCTAAACCCTATGGCTGAGGTGCTAATGGCAGCTGTTTGCTGCATAGAAAGAGCCATCCTCTGAAGGAGTGGCCATTGACAGGTTGACCACGCTCCTTTAGACGAACCCATATCCATGCACATATGGACCCGTATATCTACTATCTGTATTCAGTGGGTTATTTGCTTTTTTTCTAAACAATAGGCTGGGAAGATGGCTCAGTGGTTAAGAGCACTTCTTGTTCTTGCAGAGGACCTAGATTTGGTCCCCAGCACCAACATGACAGCTCAGTACTTACTCTCTGTAACTCCAGTTTCAAGAGTATCCAATGGCCTCACCGACCTCCATGGGCATCAGCCATGCGCATGACGCACACAATACATGTGTGCAGGCAAAACATTCATACACATAAAAATTGCATCTTCTATAACAAATAAATAAAACTAAACATCTACAATAAGCAAATGAAGACATGATGTTGAGAAGATGTGTTAGGGCAAACTGGGGAAAGGGAGTGGAGGGTAGGTATGGGTATGATTAAGATATTCAAACATGAAATTCTCAAAGGAAAAAACTTGCCTGCACTAACTCTGCTACTTCTTGCCTATAACCTTGATATTCTTCTGCTGATCTTACTTTTTCTGGTAGTATATAATACTAGCTAATCCCAGAGCAGCAAGCAGGCCAGGGGACACACAAAAGACAAACTATACCCTTTCTTTTTACTACCAAAGACAAATCAAGAACACAGAGTGATTACAAGAAAGCTCTGTGTGTGTGTGTGTGTGTGTGTGTTGTATTTTCAGTTCTACTCAAGAAAGAAACCAGTTTTCTAGTAATCTAGGAAATTTCTAGTAATCTACAACCTTCTTTTACTAGATTAAAAACAAATACAGGCTCTTCAGGTATATCCCAATCTCCCAAAGCAATCAATAATAACCATAACACAGGACAAAGTTCCCCTCTGCAATTACCTCTACATATGCACACAAGCATACGTGCCTGCATGTGCAGCAGCCCTAGCCCCTGGCTGACCAGATCAGGACAGTGACAAAGCCAAATACGGTACATAAAAGGAGCACTTTCAGGCTTCCACACCAGCCACTGCCCCCCCCATACTCTGTTCCTCCCCCACACCTAGTTGGAGTGTTCTTATACTGAGACAACTGAAGAGATAGGAAGCTTATGCTGTGCCACTGACTCATCCCAAATCTCTTTCTCATCCACTTACCTACCTGAGGAGAAGGGTGGATTGATCTCTAAAGATTCTTGTACTTCTTATGGAGAATGATACAAAAGGGCAGGACAAGCCAAGTATGGTGTCTTACACCTCAACTACAGCACCCTTAGAAGGGTGAGCAGAATCACTAAGAGCTGGAGTCCACCCGGGAATAAACAGCCACCTCCAGGCCAGCCTCGGCTACAGAGTGAGACTTTACTATCTGTATTGGCTGTTTGTCAACTTGACACAAGCTAGACTCATCAGAAAGGAGCCTCAGTTGAGAAAATGCCTCCAGGATCTCCAGCTGTAAGGCATTTTCTCAATTAGTGATCAATGGAGGAGGGTCTTGCCCACTGTGGGCGGAGCCATCCCTAGGCTGGTGATCCTGGGTTCTATAAGAAAGCAGGACAGTAAGCAGCATTCCTCCAAGGCCTCTGCATCAGTTCCTGCCTCCAGGTTCCAGCCCTGCTTCAATTCCTGTCCTGAATTCCTCCAATGATGAACTATGATCTGGAAGTATACAGCCAATAAACTCTTTCCTCCCCAACTTGCTTCTTGGTCATGGTGTTTTAGTACAGCAATAGAACCTTAACTAAAACACTATCTCAAAAAATAAAAGCTCGCCGGGCAGTGGTGGCGCATGCCTTTAATCCCAGCACTTGGGAGGCAGAGGCAGGCGGATTTCTGAGTTCGAGGCTGGCCTGGTCTACAGAGTGAGTTCCAGGACAGCCAGGGCTACACAGAGAAACCCTGTCTCAAAAAAAACCTAAAAATAAATAAATAAATAAATAAATAAATAAATAATATAAAAACTCAGCAAGTAAATATGCTTACCAAGCAAGCCTGTCAACCTGAGTTCAATCCCCAGAACCCACAGAAAGGTAGGAGAGAACTGTTCACTGTCCTCTTGACATGTTGTGGTGTTCATGGAAGCACGTGTGTGCACACTCCTGCACTTATGTACACGTGTGAATGTTCTCTTTCTCTCTCTCTCTCTCTCTCTCTCTCTCTCTCTCTCTCTCTCTCTCT